CGGGAAAACCCTAAGTTTCCAGAGGAACCGGCTATCTGCGAGAACCGCACAACGAAAATAAGATGACGAAAATACTTAGAATTTAAATGAGAATAAACGAAAATAGAGAGCAAAGAGGTTCTTATTCCGAATCTGCGTTGAACTGGTACAAAAAGAATCGCCGAAAGCGTAAGAACTAGAAAACCCTAATTGAGACGCAACTCGCTAACAGAAAAACGGAAATATTCCTAAATGCTAGTTTTGGTGGTGAGAGCTCTGAATTTCGTGTCCTTGCTTCTGCCCTAGACCTCCTCTTTATATACTCCTCGTCTTGGCTATCCAATCTTTCCATTTCGCCCAGATTTGGCTTAAATCAGGAATTTTCCATTCTTCTTGATCCTTCCTTTTCTTCTGCGGAAATCTTCTATTTCTCTTCAAACCTTCCTTTTATGTTTAAACTTGACTTTTATTTTCTTTCTGCGAGTAAACCGTCAAAACGTTATCAAATCTGCGGGTTAGATTCCGTTGAAATCGCGAGATGGGTTTTTATCGCGTTTTAGGTCCTTCTGGGCCGTTTTGCGATAAAAATCGTTTTCCGACTTTTACGGGATCGTTTCCTGATCTGACGTCGTTTTTAATAAATTTCTCGAGTTAATCGCAAAGTTTTATGATTTACTCGACTTTTTATTAAAAACACGTTTTTTACGACTTACTCGGCGTTTTTTATTAAAAGCGTGTTTTTTATGATTTTAACGAGAAATCTCGAATAAATCGTATAGTTTAGGCAATGTTCGGTGTTTCGTTTAACCGTTGCCGTTTTATACGATTTCCTAGAGTTCTTTCCGAGAAAACGAAGTTTTACGGTTTTTATCGTAAAACTCAAACGGTAAGTCGTATCGAGATGGAACGAGAGATATTTTGGCCGTGGTTTAGAACGCGACCTTGTCGAAAGACGTAAGTTTCGAATCGGGAATGCGGGAAATCGAGACGCGGAGTGTTCGGGAAGTTTTTAGATCGCCGATGGGCGATCTAGAGAGTGTTTCTTAGATCGCCCATCGGCGATCTAAGTCGGGTCCGGCTTAGATCGACGATGGGCGATCTAAAGAGTGACTCTTAGATCGCCGATGGGCGATCTAGAGAGTGTTTCTTAGATCGCCCATCGGCGATCTAAGTCGGGTCCGGCTTAGATCGCCGATGGGCGATCTAAAGAGTTACTCTTAGATCGCCCATCGGCGATCTAAGCCGGGCCCGGCTTGGATCGCCGATGGGCGAACTAGTTGCGACTAGTTTGCGTTTTACGGCTTTTTCGGTTTTTTGCGGTTTTGTAAAACGATTCTCGAGTTTTATAAAACGATTTCTCGAGTTTTATAAAACGATTCTCGCGTTTTATAAAACGATTCTCGAGTTTTATAAAACGATTCTCGAGTTTTATAAAACGATTCTCGAGTTTTATAAAACGATCCTCGAGTCTTATAAAACGAATTCTCGAGTTTTATAAAACGACTCTCGAGTCTTATAAAATGATCCTCGAGCTTTATAAAACGATTTCTCGAGTTTTATAAAGTGATTCTCGAGCTTTATAAAACGATTTCTCGAGTTTTATAAAACGATTCTCGAGTTTTATAAAATGATCCTCGAGTTTTATAAAACGATTCTCGAGCTTTATAAAACGATTTCTCGAGTTTTATAAAGCGATTCTCGAGTTTTATAAAACGATTTCTCGAGTTTTATAAAGCGATTCTCGAGTTTTATAAAACGATTTCTCAAGTTTTATAAAACGATTCTCGAGCTTTATAAAACGATTTTCGAGCTTTATAAAACGATTTCTTGAGTTTTATAAAATGATTCTCGAGCTTTATAAAACTGTTCTTTTTGTATTCTTGCGGAAAGTTTTGGCTATTAATTCCGTCGTACCGATTTTGACCCCAACAGAGACCAAGTCAAAATCTGTTGGCATTTTTAATCAGAAAGATCCTGCAACTAGTTCCTCGGATTACGCTTTACCTTATGGGTTTGTGATATTTGGAAATCTTTTAATTTTATATGATATTCGATCTCTTTGTATTTTGACCGGTTATTCGCCTCTTTACTCATTTTTTGCATATTTTAGAGATATGCCCAAGGTCATGGTTATTGAGGCTATATCAACAACAGATTATGGAATCAATGTCGACATTGATGAGATTTACGAATATATCGAGGTTAAAGGATCATCTCACTCTCTAGTTATCTGCTTCCATGGTTTTGATTTGAGAGTGATACGATAATATCGCCACTTGTTTTGCTTGTGGTTGATAAAATGCAAAATAGGTATAAAATACCACCTTATTACAAGAAGATATTGGAAGACAAAGCTGAAGAGACGTGCTTCTAAAAATTAACTAGAGAAGGTAACCTTAGTTTGTTCTTTAACTAAACTATATATAAATTAGAACTTGTTCATTACGATAGATACATACATATATATATATATATATTTGTTTGATGAAATTTAAAGAAATTTTCAAAATGGCAGGGGGAATACGGCTACAAGATCCTCGATATTACTTTGGAAATCATTGATGAGGCCCAGTCAAAAGCTGTTGCAGTGGCTGATCAGAAATATCCTGCAAATACTTTTTCTTCAAATGCCGCTACTTCCTCTGGATTTGTGACATTTGGAACCTTACAATATTATATATGTTAAATGTGATGTATGTATTGTATTTGACATAATATATTTCCACTCTTTTATTTCTTTTTCTCTATCAGGAATAGACCTCATGACGCCGTTATGGAAGCTATATCAACAATCAAGATGGAAGTTGTATTGATATTGATGGATTTTACTAGTTTGTCGAGGTTAGCTAGTCTGTTTCCATGCTTGGTTTTAATCTGAGTTGATAAGAGTGAGTAAAAAATATTCCATCTTGGTTTGCTTGCTTACTCCTCCATTGTTCTTGTTTTGACTCAAAGATAGTTATTTTTGATCGATCGAGTTAATCTTATGGTAGACATATTGCAGGAAAAGTGTGTGTTTACCGCCAAATTATAGGAAGCAGTTGGAACACGGGCTCACTAGACGTGTTTCTCAATACATACTAGAGAAGGTATCCTTGATTTTGTTTATTTAAACAAGCAATCTTCTATAGTGCATATGTGTCAAAACACTTGATCATTCTGACTTGATATACGTGCGCACATTAATTTGTTAGGTTAAATTAATGTAGGTAGGAACCGGCTACGAGATTCTCGATGTTACTCCTGAGAAACTACATGAGTTAAATGAGGCAGCAGAAAAATCAGTCGCAATGTCTGATCAGAAAGATTTAGAAGCGAAAGAGGCATAGGATGCTGTAGATATGGCCAAAAACGTGTTGGAAGAAAACAAACTAGTTTTGCAGGTGGCCAAAGAAGCCCTTGACCGATGTAAATTTGACTCCACCACCTAAATCAACCTCTTCATCATCATCAGCTCACCATCATCACTCAGCCTGTTTTGCTTCCTTTCTTGCAGGTACCAGAGGCGAATAGGTTTTCTGGTCCGGTTCAGTGAAGATGTATTGGAGGACCGGTTCTTTGATAGTTCATTGACTACAGCTTTGTCACTTTCTGTTTAGTTTTTAGGTTAAATGTTTTTGGTTGTAAATCAAAGCTAAAGTTTCTACTACTGATCTTTTGAGACCTTGAGAAAATGTGGCCTGTGGGGTGGCTTTGTGAACGAATCATTTTGAAGGAAATCACTTTAAACTTGTGTTATTTTCATGACGCAATGCTTTTACAAACGCAAGTTCTCCGTACTGTTTTAACATTTGAGTCCAAGAATGAACCCAATCGACTAAGTGGACTTCTAGATACGGTAAAGAAACACAATATTGAACCAAGTAAATTTTGGTTTATGCATCAAAGGTGGTGGAAAGATTAAGCTTTTAAAAAGAATATTTTGTTTCAAAAAAAAATATATATAAATTTTGATTATATTCCAACATTGAAAACTACATTTCTGTTTATATACTCCTTCCATTTTAGTAAGTACTAGGGGTTAGCCGGCGCTACGCGTCGGTTTTGCTAATATTGATATTGGTTAGCTGTGATTTTATGATTAAGAACATTGTTCAAAAGTACTTTAGAAAGCAATATATGTATCGATTATATGGAGATATATTAATTTGATAGTAATCTTTTCATATTTATTATAAAGACATTTAAGTTTAAATATATGCATGACAATTTCAAAGTGCAATCTCTGAATTTTTTTGTTATCTTTGATTTGTGTAAAGTGTTTACTTTTGTGGGTTAGATTAGGTTAATTTATAGGTATAAAACAATATGTTGTAAAATATTTTATAATACATGATTATTGGGGATGAGATAGTAAGGTGGCTAAAGTATTATGGTCCTTCAGTTTAACTAATTTGTGTTTTACAATTGTATATTCTCATTTTTATTTTTATATTTATTCTCGGTAATCATTAAAATTATGTTGATTTTTGAATTGTTATATTCACTTGTATGTATTAAATTTTATCATTGTTGGATTATTTCAAAAGAAGAGATTTTAAAGATTTACAACAATAGACTTGAAATTCCACCAGGAGTCTAAAAGTTTTAGTGTCGTATTGTTGTTAAATTGATTGGTTTTAATTTGAAAACGTTCTAATTTAGTTGTTAAAGTAAAAAGTAAATTCTATTTCTTGAAGTATGAACACAAATTGTTTAGTTTGTTGTAGTAAATACATTTAACATTGATTTTTGATATTGTTGCGGTAACATGTAATCGTAGTTATATATATATATATATATATATGTATGTATTTATGTTAAACGGTAGCCTCTTAAATCTAACTGAATATAGATTTCGTCAAGTTTTTTCTTTATATTCTTTTTATACATAACCAACACTTAAAATCAAGCATGCAAGTATGGATTTTGGCTTTACATAGATATATGATTCTTAATTAGCTAGTAGCTTTGACAGAGATAAATTCGTAATCTTTATCCAAGTTGTAAGTAAAAAAATGTCACACGTTCAAAATAACACTACCAGACCAAAGATGAAATATCTTATTAACATAGATTTAAATCATCAAAATTAGAGGATTATTTTGTTTTTTTTTTGTCATCAACAAAAACAGACTTTATGACAACTCTGCAAACTAGAACGGTAGATCTACATTCATATGAACAGAGAAAGACGATTTCTTCCTAGCCCGTGTCAGACTGTTCATCTTGGTATTCAGCATTCTTAAGATATGGATGATTTATGAAGGGATTATTTTGTTAGGTTTAGTGCAGTTGATTACATCAATATACAGAGAGCCATTTCTTTTTTTTAAAAAAGTTGAATTAAATAATTCAACTATTTAAATAATGCTTATACCTAACTCAACTATTTCAACAGTAGTGTACCAAATAAAGATAAAGTAAACAAAAACACTTTGCCGGTAAGTAAAAGTATGTGGATTACATCGTTAATGAAGGAAAACATAAAATTTTGAAATAAACAATGGAATTGAACTTTGCAAATTTCGAGTCTCCATAGTTGCCGTGATCAGTATTTGCGAGCTTACTTTGGACTCGGGCCCATTTAATCATCAATGGGAGTCTTGGTGGAGGTCATGACTAAATCACTATTTGCAGGCTTTGGGTCGGTGCTGGCTGGACCTCCTTCAATAATTGGAACACCATCTAGCCCGTTTGTATGATTCAAACAATTGCTTCTCACCACTGGGTTTGGAAACATAGAAACTTTAACAACTACAGCCATATGATCACTTGGGTGGTGTGATATACCATGATTTTGACCCGATTTTGGTCATGGTATATTGGTGTTTTTACTACTGTTTATTATATTATAGAAGCTTTTCAGCATATTTATAGGTTCAGGAGTATTTTGGAAGAAAGTGATGTTTTGGAGCATTTTAGAGAGAATTCGAGAAATCACTCGATTTGGAATTGACCAACACGATCGAGGTCGACATGGAGTGACCACGTCAATCGACATGCACCTAGCATGATGGATCGACACCGAAGGCGTGGAAAACCAATTCGCGAGACAGCCGACTTGAAGTTCAAACATCATCAAATGATGATTTTACCCTTGACAAGTTTTAACCTAAGTTTGTATACCCTACCAAAGTGTTAGAGGCAGAGAGAGATTTTTTGTATTCTTTTCACATCAAAAGGTTTTAGGATTTATAGTTTGGGAGAGAAGATCAACAGAGAGATTTGTGATTGGAACTCCATTGTTTTCTATTTATCCAATACAATGCAGTTTTATTACTTTGCTTGTGTTATGAATTGCTTAGCCATGTCTGAGTAATTCACTTGTTAGAATTAGGGGTTAAATAGGTTAGTGGGATTAGCCTCAACTATAGGATCGCTTGTTGTGGTATTCATTAATAGGATGTTCTTAATGATTATGTTCTACACTTGATAACTAGAAACCTGAATCTAGGATTGTTAGGTTGTTTAAACATCCTTGAAAAACTCTGATAGTCTTGAATACATCCTCTTAGGCTAGGATTTTACTAGAGATAGAGTGAAAGTTTGATCTAGGGATCCATAGTGAGTGTTTGTTAACTCGCGTGTAACGCTTAACTAGCCGCATCGATTGATATTCCCATTGGAAATCGATCGACGTTGAGTAAAGTGAATCAATCGATATTCCTATAGAATAATCGATCGACACTGTCATTGATCGGACATGCTTCTCTTGGTCAACAACATTCTAGTCAATAAAATTATTTATTACATGAAAGTTTAGTAAATATGTTGTTAAGATAGTTAATGCTCTTTAATACCATGCAAACAAGTAGATAGCACCTATAGGATTATAATCTCCAATACCTAAATAGAAACCCTAAGTCTAACACCTTTCCATTTAAGTTCAAAACCCTCAATGCATTCTTGTCGAGTAATTGTCTTGCTCAGTTAGAATATTTTTATTTAATGTTTACTTGCTTATTATGATTTACTATTTATATTCATTTAGTCTTATTGTTTGATTAGATTTAATAGGTTACATAGCTCCTTGTGGATTTGATCCCCTAAGTATTGAAATAGATCTCTTATTTGAGAGATTAAGTTGCTCCATGGGGTAATTTGAGCACGTATCAAATTAGGCGCTGTTGCCAGTGAGCTTTGATCGCCATTAGATTTAGTCTAATAATTCTAGGTTTTTCTTTTTCTTTTTCTTTTACCATCTTCTAATAAAAATATTCTTTGATTTTTCAGGTGCATGCATAGCATAACCAGAAGCAACAAGGAAAAATAACTACTATTTTCAGAAGACCTAGCAAGCTTGGAACATTTGATCCATAAAGACCTACGTTCCACATCGATCGACACTTCGTCGTCCGATTCTCATCAGACCCCAGCCGACCTCGCTTCATCATCGATCAACACGGACTACTCTTCATCGACCGATTCTGATCACTTGACATCAATCGACACCACTCATCGTACATCGATCGATACTCAGCCGCGAGACATGGTTGCGCCTCTGATATTAACTGCGACAGAGAATAGAGACTTCTATGACCAGGAAGGTCATCTGCGTAATGCAACAAGTCAGAAACGAGATACTCAGGGGAATGTAATCCCTGAACCTGATACTGATGAGGCTACTCGACCCAAGACCTTGGCAGACTACAACTGTCCAGACCAGTACTATGCCAACATGTCAGTTATTCGTCTTCCAGACGTGCAGAGGGAAAACTTTGAGTTGAAGCCGCAGTACTACACACATGTGGCTCAGATACCCTACTGTGGATTGCCACATGAGCATCCTATGGAACATCTTGAGAGGTTCGAGGATCTTCTCGCTGCTATTAGAGTTAAGGGAGTCCCTGAGGACTAGTTATTGTGCAAGCTCATCAAGTTCTCACTTGCTGGAGATGCTGCACATTGGCTCAAGCAGCTACCACCAGGATCTCTTACATCATGGGCTGACATTTGCGTTTCTGCGAAATTTCTTTGATGAGGCACGAGCTGGAGAACTAAAGAGCAGGATTGCTACCTTCACACAGAAACCTGGAAAGTCCTTCAAAGACTCTTGGATTAGATTCAAGTTCTTCCAGCGCGATTGTCCACACCATGGATTCAATGAAGTGCAGCTTCTCAGCACTTTCTTTAGAGGAATCGCTTTGAAGTATCAGATGGCTCTGTATACCGCAAGCGATAGAAGATTTAACACCAGGAATTTAGAAGAAGCTATAAGACTTATCAAGAATCTAGCAAACAGCAGCAGCATCAAGAACACTGATTCTGAAAGAAGGAAATCTGTAGCATTCCTTGGGAAGGAACAAATGGATGAAGTAAAAGCTAAGTTAGACAATGTCAACCAGTT